TCCAGTGTCACTAAAGCAGGAGGAGAAAGAAATTAACAGTTAATTGAAATCTGTGAAACATAAATGAGATGTACATGTGAAATCCCAAGAACAATATAATTTGTGTGAAGTGCTGCTATGGGAGTAGGGCATTTAAACATATCTTCTGCTGCACACGTAGCCTCCATTTGTAGTAGTGAATCTTTTTTTTTTTTTTTCCCAAAAAGAAAGTGTATTTTGAGAGCATACTATTTGAACTGTATTTCTTCCTTTTTTGTATCCAATACGCAGAGATGTGACAGAGCAATACTTTGCTCACGAATGATGTGATTACAGAAATGAAATTTTAGAAACTGCATTTCTTTTATCCACTGAATTAACACTGTGATAGAGTAAAACGTATCTAATGGCATTGCACCTCTTAAGATATAAGAGAATTTTGCTTAATTTCCTGATTTTCTTAAAAGGATCTTACCCCATGAGAGTAATGCCCAGGAATGTTCCTAGGAACACTTTAATTTACTAATGTAGATACAGCTTAAGAGTAGTCTACACCCAAGGTGTTTTAAGTCTCTTCTGCTGAAGTAATTCACCCTTATAGGGTATAATTAGAAATTCACTGGGACAGAAAGAGGGAGCATGAGTGTGAGAATATCTACAGAATTTATAAACCTATCTACATGCATAGATATTTATATGAAAACCATCACACATACAAAATATTTGTAGTGTAGAAAACCTTGATCACAGAATCCTTTTCTCTCTTTTCTGTATGTATGTGCAAAAACCCACCCCAAAGAATGCCCTTTCTTCACAGGATGAATATATGCCTGGGAGTACGTGGGCTCAAGCTCCCTCAAGCAGGACTCTTCTATAGGTGAGCGCTCTGCTGAAGGAACAGTACTGTGATGCCGTCACCTCTTTACACTATTTTTCTTGTCTAATGTGTATTTTTTCTCGTCTTACATAGAGTTGATACATATAGTTGATATCTATTTGATCAGGCTCTGCTGGCCAAGCCAATGGAAAGCAACTAGTTCTTAAATCTTTACATAATTTGGGTATGAGCTGAGTTTTCAGTTACTGGGCAGTACCAGGAGGCACAATTTTGTGTGTAAACAGAGGCACCCAACAAACTTTACTGTCAGAAATGTAAACATGTAAGGGATTCAGCTAATGACAACGTTCATTGGAAACTGAGCAAAGATTCTGAGAATTAACTGTTCTCTGAGGGTGGAGAGGCAGGAAGGCTCTGCAGGAGGACCTGGACAGGCTGGACTGATAGGCCAAGGCCAATTGTGTGAGGTTCAACAAGACCAAGTGCCAGGTCCTGCACTTTGGCCACAACAACCCCATGCAGAGCTACAGGCCAGGGGAAGAGTGGCTGGAAAATTGCTCGGCAGGAAAGGATCTGGGGGTGCTGGTGAACAGCAGCTGAAGATGACCCAGCAGTGTGCACACGTACACACATTTCAGAAATATCTCTATTTCTGACACAGGCTAGCAGGACTGCAGGGGTTTGAAGTTGTTAACTTTCTTGCCTATCATTGGTTCCTGTGTTGCCGTAGTTATTATACTGTCTCCCTGCATTGGCTATCCAAATGGCCAATCCCCTCTTTTCCCCACCAGCCCTTATAAGCTGGGGGGAGATTTGAATAAACTCTCTTCGCTGCTGGACTTCCTGGGTGCTGCGTGGTCTCTGTCTCCTGGCATAGGTGCCTCCGCTGCCTGTCCCTGCCACGAGGGATGGGCAGCAGGGCAGGGGGGTGATTTCAGCCCTGGAACCTTCACAGAGTGGCCGTGAGCCACTTAAGAACTCACCCAAACTGCAACACAGGACCAGGGAAAGTGATTCTCACCCGGTACTCAGCACTGGTGAGGCCACACCTGGAGTGCTGTGTCCAGTTCTGGGCCCTTCACTGCAAGAAGGACATTGAACTGCTGGAGCGTCTCCAGAGAAGGGCAGCAAAGTGAGTGATTTGGAGCACAAGCACTGTGAGGAGCAGATGAGGGAGTAGGTGTTGTTTAACCTAGAGAAAAGGAGACTCAGGAGGGAACTTCTCTCTACAACGACCTGAAAGGAGGTTGTAGCCTCAGACTCTTCTCCCAGACAACCAGCAACAGGACAATAAGATACAGTCTTAAGCTGCACCAGGGGAAGTTTAGGTTGCACATTAGGAGGAATTTCTTCACATAAAAACTGATTAGACACTGCAATGGACTGCCCAGGGAGGTGGTGGAGTCCCATCATCCGGGGAGGTGTTTAAGGAAAGCCTGGGTGTGGCACTTCATGTCGTTGTCTAATTGATACGGTGGTGTTTGGTCCTAGGTTGGACTCGATGATCTCAGAGGTCTTTTCCAACCTAACTGATACTGTGATTCTGTGTATGATGGGACAAGTAGGTACTAGCTATATGTGGGGCTTTTATGTGATTCAAGAAGATGAATATTCTTCATTCCAATTGTGAGGCTGGATTAGGTTTCAGTGCTAAGCTTCTGAACCTACTGCTGAGTGCAGCCAAAATGACAGCTGCTCAGCATGAATTCTTGTGCTCTCAACACCCAAAAGAGAAAGCAATCTCTACTTAAGCAATTAAAGATTTAAAAAAACTTAAAGATTCTGACAATTTTGTTAAGTTCAAGACAGAAGAGTATGGCTATCTCAAAAGACTTGATTTTCTTTAGAAATTAATATTTGCTCTCAAAACCTTCTATGTACAGAAGGATTTGTGTAACCAGTTGCTAAGATGATTTACCAACAATAGGAGGAAGTTTAGGATAAAGGAAGGATCCTTTTCTATGAAAAGCTGATGCAAAAAAAAACAGAGAAAATGAATTCTTTTATTTTTACTAGATTGGTTCTTGTTGTAATGCTTTCTGAAAACTTGTTTCAGCTTGTACTCTGTATTAGTCTTGTTCCTCTCTGATAGTGGAATTGATGAAAACAGTAAACTAACTTTTTCGTTTGTTTGTTTGACACATCTGAAAATCATTTTAATCCTTGTTTCATTTAGCCCATTTTTTAACCTTCAACTTCACATCTTTTCCTCGTGTTTCTGGAGTGTTTTCATTAATATGACAAAGGACTCCATTTAAAAAGTCAGCCACTTGTGACAATCTTCAAGGACTTTTTCAAATTAGAAACTGCTCTGTGGTAAGTACAGGACTGTAATCACTTCAAAGCTTTTGAAGGGCTTTAGGTGAGAAGAGAATGGAATTGGCACATGCATAGAAAGCCATTTCAAGTTCTTGGAACACATCATAAGAGCAATTCAAATAACCTAAAATTTCACTGGACTCCATTTTTTAATTAAAGCTTTTTTCAAGCCAAAGCTTTACAGGTGAATTTTGCTACTGTTGATTTTTAAACTCAATAGATGTATGCTTTAAAGAAATTTCATACCAAGAATACTATATTGCATCTACAGTCTATTTACAAAGTACTGCACTAGACTTTTAAGGACACAATCTTTTTAATGTCTTATTTTTCACTGAAAAATCCCTGAAGCTAAATGAAGACTTAGGTTCATTTTCATTTTACTTCTGGTCTGCTGCTATGGCAAAAAAAGATCAGGAAAAAAAAAAGTATTGGTGACAATCCCTTTTTTATTATGAAAAAGAAAAAAAGAAAATGGCAAATTTGAAACAAAAATGTGCTCACTTATTTTGGGTGGGGCA